CGACCCCCCAAACCCGGCACAATAAGGGATACCTACACCGATCACCACCAAGTTAATCGACTGTCACTCTCAAAGCTGCTCGGTTTCCCAGAGTGAAAGTCGATCGACATCCAGACAAAATAGTCAACCCGAACTAGTTAAGGCGACCGACCCAAAGATCTGCAGTCGTGAGGCTTTGACTTACGAAAAGGTATCGATATTAGTTATTGACACGAAAATATGTTAATGGCATGAAAATGTGTTAATGTCAGTTATGGATGTGAAATGATTTCAATATCAATCATAGGTACAGAAAAACACCATAATCAGCTATAATTTCAAAAATGTGTCAAAAGGGACAAAATTGATCTGTAATGCCTCTAATAAAGTAGTTTGGGAAATAATCATTGTTTGTGTCGATGAGGGCGTACTTGTGGTCAGAGATTATCCAGACCTTCCCACTTCCGTAGTGAGTTGGGATCCATCCAAGGGGAGAGCCTTTTCTTTTCCAAGAAGAGGGAGGGGGGAACGTTTGGACTCTCCATTGCGGCCTTTCCACTTGTGAGGCCCTTTTCTCCCGAACAAAATGGTTAAGACACTGACTCAGGAAAAAGGGACGAATGAAGTGACGGTGGAGCGGTTTTCATCTCTTACGAAGCTAGATATGTCCCTTGTTGATTCTGTAGATTCCCTCTCTTGTTCGGGCTTGAACAAAACCATTGGTGACTGGCGACTGGCCTTAGTTCTCGATTGTAAGTCAGGGAAGGTAGGCCCGACCAGCTGTGCAACAGTAGTCAACCCCTTTCCCTTACCCAAGAATGGTCCTTCAAAGGCGCTCAGTGAACCAATAGTCTTAGAGGTCGAAACCCCTGCATCCAGAAAATTCTAATTCAAAGATCAAATCATCGCTTGATGATGGATTATGGGCATTCAATTAGTGAGTTAATGTATTCCTATCATAAGCCCCTTATATTAGAATCATTAAATTTAATCAACTTCCAACCAACAACAATTTTAAAAAATTGCAATTTTACTCTTTTTTGTAGCAAGTGGTGTAAATTAGTTTCTTCCTTCTTTACCTTTAGATTTCAATAACCTCCAAGGAATTAATGATCAAAACTATTACTTAATTCCCCTTGATTTGACCTAAATCTTGATTATAG